TATGAGGGATTGATTCTGTGTGGCTGCGGCATGTTTGGGATGCAGTTATGAGGGATTGATTCTGTGTGACTGCAGCACGTTTGGGATGCAGTTATGAGGGATTGATTCTGTGTGGCTGCAGCACGTTTGGGATGCAGTTATGAGGGATTGATTCTGTGTGACTGCGGCATGTTTGGGATGCAGTTATGAGGGATTGATTCTGTGTGACTGCAGCACGTTTGGGATGGTGGACAGCGAGGAGAACTGCTGTGCAGTGATGGTGTACAACACGGCCAACAGCTGGGGTGTCCTGATCGGAGACACTGTGGTTATACCAGAGCCCCACGTCAAACGGCACAGCATCACGCACAAGGAGAAGGTCAGCATGTGTACACACACACAAATGCACAAACGCACACAAAAATGCATGCATGCACACACATACATGGCTAAGAGTGCACGCACTTATACGCTCACAGACACACTCATGTTTTTTCCAGCAGCTGTGTGGAGTTTGTATGGTAATTAGCAACGCAAATTGTATATGTTCACACCTTAATGTTCTGAAAATGACCAAGTACTGAGAATAAAATGTTTTCTCAAGATAACGTGGGTGGTTTATAGCAGTATTACTGAGTCACAAAATCCATCTAACCAGCAGAGTAAGGACAGATAAAAATTTCTCAGTGGCAGCAGAAACTCGTTGGTGCTGTGGATTAAACTCTCAGACCTAGTGCTGTGTTTGTTTCAGAGAGTAACACCAAGGGGATATACTACGAAGCTGGCTTTGTGATGAAGCCTGACTTTAAGCTTGAGTAAAACCTGGAACAGCTCATTTTACTTTAGTTCATGTTCCAGATATGAAGAGGTTCCTGGTTTTACTAAGTGCTGAAGTCAGGCTTAATCACAAAGCCAGCACTGTCGTACACCCCGGGGTCTCCAGAGGGGGCACTTCTTTGCTAACGTTCCGCTGAAATGTCTTCTTAACTGTTAATACGTGTTCAAAGTAAGTTCAAGTCCAGTTACCTATCTTTCTGACCACATATGTCATTCACCATTTACTTGAGCTTTGTCTCCACTAGAGTTGGCAAAAGGATGCCAATGCCTGGGTTGTAGCGATGCGCTAACAGTTCGCTGTGAGACACCTGTAACTCCTTATTTTAAACACTAAGCACTCCAGGCGGACGTCAGCAAAGTCAACATCAGCACTGGGTTTGGCCCGCCTTATAACCTACAATAAAACAACATTTGCATAGCTGATTTAAATATTCAGTGCTGTGAAAAAGTATTTACCCCTTTCCTGATATTTTTTTTTTTTTCATATTTGTGACACTTAAATGTTTCAGATCATCAAACAAATTTTAATATTAGACAAAGATAATCAGAGTAAAAACAAAATGCAGTTTTTAAATGATGATTTCATTTATTGAGGGAAAAGACTATCCAAACCTACCTGGCCCCATGTGAAAAAGTAATTGCCCCCTAAATCTAATAACTGGTTGTGCCACCCTCGGCGGCGACAACTGCAATCAAGCATTTGCGATAACTGGCAACGAGTCTTTCACATCGCTGTGGAGGAATTTTCGCCTACTCTTCTTTGCAGAATTGTTTTAATTCAGCCACATAGGAGGGTTTTCGAGCATGAACGGCCTTTTTAAGGTCATGCCGCAGCATCTCAATTGGATTAAAGTCCGAACTTTGACTAGGCCACTCCAAAAGATTAATTTTGTTTCTTTTAAGCCAGTGGTCTTCAACGTCGTTCCTGGGGACGCACTGTGTATTCCGGTTTTTGTTCCAACCACAATTGTAATTGCAGGATTTTAGCAAGCTGTTAATTTGTCTTAAGCAGACCTATAGCTAAGCGAAATGCCAATTTTGGTTCAAAATTTTAGTTTTGAGGTAAGAACATTAAGTGATCCTTGAAATAGTCTACTTTCTGCCTAATTGGTCTTAACCCTCTATTAACCACCGTAGCATATCTGCTACATAAAGTGAAAGGGTTAACAGCCTGGACACCCTGCTGGTTTTGTTTCTTATTGCCAAATAAACATTTGAGAATAACTTGAATGGTCCGTCAAGTTAAAATTTTAAAATTAAAAAAAAAAATTTAAATAAAAAAAAAAATTTAATTTTTTTTTTTTTAACTATTTTTCCAAATATTGGCCCATAATCAACATATTTGCCTAGGGAAATGATTTTTACACAATTGGAAATGGGTTTGGTTAAAAGAGGGTTAAACTTGTGCTAAAATTGCTCTGAAATTATTCTTCTACACTAAAAAGCACTTAAAAACCTTGATAAAAATACAGATGATTTTCAACAAGAAAATACAGATTTCTCAGCAACTGTACATCCAATTAACTTAATATTTGGCAGTTTTCTTCATTTTGTGATGATCTATGTCTGTACAGAGCTCTTATTGCAATATGTACCTCTGAATACGAGTAAATCAAAATATGTATATTTAATTTGCTGTTTCCCGCCAAAATTGATTTAGGGGGGTCAAAATCAATACTAGAACATAGAAAAAAAGCTCTGTAGTGACAATAGGAATGTTTTTTCCTTCACATTACAGCTGAAATTATAACCAAACACTGTTTAGTTATCTCAATAACTGTGTTTCTCTAAGTATCTATATATTCATTAAAACAGCTGTTGCCAGGGCAACCACTGATGTAATACTACAGAAACTCAGTGTTTTAAGTAGCAATTTCTAATAGAATTATTTTGATAATAATTCTTAGTTTAAAAAGTGAATATCTTGGAAAAATGTTTCCTTAACTATAAGTCCCCTTGAATACATTTAATGTTTAGAGCAGTTATTTTCCCTCTTAACTCACAAGTTAATAGAGAATATCATTTGGGCATTTTCATATTGTGCCTCGCACTAGTATCACAGGTGCAGATTCCCTGTATTTATAAGGAAGACTATGTCAAGAGAAATATCTCATTTTGCCATCAAGAATAAAAAATACCTTACCCACATTGCAATGTATTGGAAATAACAGCATGAAATGAGAAAAAAACTGTATAACCAATGAAATTAAAGATGTAGTTGGCTCCTAATTGGTGAAAACTAATTAGCACATCATGAGGAATTTATTCCACAAGCAAATGGTAGAGTCAAATCAGTTTTGTGTTATGTTAATCTAATTAAGTTCACCTGCAGTTTTTTGAAAGAACTTGAAACAGTTGTTATCAAGCAGCCTAATTTGGGGTTTACCGAGTTCCTCAGTGTGTAAATGTTTGAAATGTTATATGACTTGAAATTCTTTCAGTACAGAAATAAACACACCATCTTCTGTGGTATTTTATTCTTCTGAGCATGTTCGGATGTTTCTATGTAACATTTGGCTAAAGGGTAATTAGCAACTCTAAACATGAAATTCAACTAATTAAGACATTAACAGCTTGTTAAAATCCCACGATTACAATTGTGGTTGGAACAAAAGCCAGCATACACAGTGGGTCCCCAGGAGTGATGTTAAAGACCACTGTTTTAAGCCATTCAGAGGTGGACTTGCTGGTGTGTGTCCTGCTGCATAACCCAAGTGCGCTTGAGCTTGAGGTCACAAACTGATGGTTGGACATTCTCCTTCAGGATTTTCTGGTAGAGAGCAGAATTCATGGTTCCATCAATTACAGCAAGTCATCCAGGTCCTGAAGCAGCCAAGCAGCCCCAAACCATCACACTACCGCCACCATGTTTGACTTTTGGGATGATGTTCTTTTTCTGAAATGCTGTGTTAGTTTTACGCCTGATGTAACGGGATGCACACCTTCCAAAAAATTCAACTTCTGTCTCATCAGTCCACAGAATATTTTCCCAAAAGCCTTGAGGATCATCAAGATGTTTTTTTGGCAAATCTGAGATGAGCCTTTGCGTACTTTTGGGTCAGCAGTGGTTTTCGCCTTGGATCTCTCCCATGGATGCCATTTTTGCCCAGTCTCGTTCTTATTGTTGAATCATGAACACTGACTTTAACTGAGGCAAGTGAGGCCTGCAGTTCTTCAGATGTTCTGGGTTCTTTTTTGACCTCCTGGATGAGTCGTCGATGTGCTCTTGGAGTAATTTTGGAAGGCCGACCACTACTGGGAAGGTTCACCACTGTTCCAAGTTTTCTCCATTTGTGGATAATGGCTCTCACCGTGATTCGCCGGAGTCCCAAAGCCTTAGAAATGGCTTTGTAACCCTTTCCAGACTGATAGATGTCAATGACTTTGTTTCTCATCTGTTCTTGAATTTCTTTAGTTCGCGGCACGATGTGTTGCATTTTGAGATCTTTTAGCCTACTTCACTTTGTCAGAAAGGTTCTATTTAAGTGATTTCTTGATTCAACAGGTCTGGCAATAATCAGGCCTGGGTGTGGCTAGTGAAATTGAACTAAAAAATGTGGGTAATCTCAGTTAATTCATGATTTAAAAAAACGGGGGGGGGGGAATTACTTTTTCACATAAGGCCAAGTAGGTTTGGATAGCTTTTTCCCCTTAATAAATGAAATCATTTAAAAACTGCATTTTGTATTTACTCGGGTTATCTTTTTCTAATATTAAAATTTGTTAGATGATCTGAAACATTTAAGTGTGACGAATATGCAAAAAAAATAAAATCAGGACGAGGGGAAATATTTTTTCACAGCATTGTAGTTTTGTGTTACATTTAATCTTAAGAATAGTCATATTTCACAGATCAGAAAAATCGGCTGCATTTGGCACTTGATTCTTCATTCATCTTCCCTGTGCCATAAATTTAGACATTTCGCCCCTCTCGTCCCTTGCCTACAGATTATGTCTCACGTGATCCTATATTTTCACTGACTAAACAGCGCAGTATAGAAAGCAGTGTAATGCTGGCGATCAGGACAGTGACATACAGACACTTTAAAGAGGGAAAGGGCGTCATTTCCACAATGCACATGACTGTCACAGTGAACATTTTGAAGATCAGTGAATTTTTTGAAGAGGCAGTGTTTCGATTCCACTGTGGTCTTGAGCTCAAACTTGCGAATCACTCCCAACTGGACTCGGTGGCTCAGTTGGTAGGGCAGTGGGACGGAACCCCTAAGGCGTGAGTTCGAGCCTCACTTGGGTTCAGATGTCCTGATCCGGTCTTTAGCAGTTTCAGAATAAATTGTAGATTGGATGTCGATCGTAAGTATGAGGCCCGTAAAAAGACGGGGACGTGTGTCAGCCAGAAGTGTCCCACTCAGGAAATGGTGGCTCCTGGTGCTGGTAGATCTGTCCTGTTAACACATTCATAAATGCAGACTCGTCCCGCTGTCAGTCTTCACTGGATCACTCTTCCCTCCCTCCGTTTCCCTCCTGCAGTCGTTCGACTTGCGCAGCATCCGTGTGGACTCTCCGCTGCTCCTCATTGTGAATGGGAAGAGACAGACAGCCCGGAGCCAAACCGCCACCTCCGTCAGCTATAGGCCACAGAATGAGTGAGGGGGCGGGGCTGGGGCCACAGGCCCCAATGTGAGTGAGGGGGTGGGACTTCAGTGACATGGGCGTGGTGGAACGCAGGAGCTCTACACCCCCCTTTTAAATAGCGTTATCAGCCAGGTAATAAAAGAGGAAAGCAGGAGGGCGGGAGCACTGGGAGAGGAGGAGGAGGCTGACTGAAGCTGCGGTGTTTCAGAAAGATCGTGGGACCAAGTGAGCAAATATAAGGGGGGATGGAAGAGAAGGAAAACGAATAAACATGAAAGAAGAAGGATAAAGGGTGTAAGTGACTCCATTTTTAAGAAGTCGGGACGATATGGGAAAGGCAAATAAAAGAAAAAGATTTGTATATCATCCTTGTTTTTCATGCCCTACTTAATTTCTTTTTTTGCAAACATGTTCTTCTGCTTCATATATTGCGCATTTCAGATGATCTCGAGCCCAGAGAAGACTGCTCTTTATGGGCCTTGTTGAGTTTATACCTGTGCTGTCTTGACTTGAATTTACAAACATGAGAACTGTTCACTGATAAAGGCTTTCAACATTCATTCTGAGTACATGTAACTGTATCCATCAAAAAAGCACCCCAGTTCTCGGTGCGGTGTCATCGGAATCACTGAGGGGAAAGGCACTCAGTTAGGTATTCAACTTTATCCTTTATGCACAGAAGTCTCTGGATATCTGCAATCCTGAAGTGATATCTGAAGTTTTTAATACATGAAGTTGTGGAATTGAATTCGAAGTCAGAACAAGCATATTTTTTCGAAAAAAAGTTTTAATCTTTACTTGTGCTATTTTCAATCTAATACAGGTCTAATATGATTTCCAAATCACTGTTTACTTTATGTACATTTTCCATGCTGGCCCAGCTTTGTTGGAAATGGGGTTGTAAATTGAGTGTAAAAATTGTTTTATATTTTTGTTAGTATTTTTTGTTGGGTGTGGGGAGTTGGTTACTTTTGTACAAAGTTTGTCTGAAGTGTGTTCTGATGAATTAAAATGCTTGTTTCTTATTTACTTATCCATTTATTGATGTAAAACGTGAAAATAATAGAGGAAAACACAAAAAGGTTCTTAGCAGCGTATGGCCGCAGTAATACCCCTTCAGGCCACAGCCCCTGAGGGCGCTAAAGAGCTTCCCTGGCTCCGTAAATTCAGTGAACGGCGGAGCGCTACTGTGACACACAGAACACGCCATAGCTGTAAGTGTAAAGCCAGGTTATAAATATATCAGTTCAGTGTGAAATCTGAGCGTCGCACACACTTGTTTTCCGGGTATAACCTGGTTTGATCCCTCAGGCTGGGCAGAGCAGATGAGAGGGGAGAACACAAACGCTTCACAACCCAGCCTGTATTTCCATTTATGTAACACAACGGCACACTGCACTGCAGTATTGGCTCACTGCACTAACATGCTTTCCTGGGCGTCTGCGCCTCACTGTTTCCGGTGAAAGGCTCGCGCTTTCGGGGGAGTGGGGGTACTGAAGAGGAAGAAGCCCTTGGCTACACTTGGGTCCAGAGAGGAGAAGAGCCGCTCTCCATCACAGCTGGGGAACTGCGGGCTGCAGCTGGGCGTAACGGGCCTGCCAGCACCTGGAGGGAGGGGACACAAACCAGCTCTCCTTTCAGACGCTGGGTACACCATGTTCCACCCCATCACCAACACACTACGTTACAGCCATTACACTGCATCGTGTTCCACCACATTACCCGCACACTACATTTCAGCCATTACACTGCATCATGTTCCACTACATTACAGCCATTACACTGCACCATGTTCCACCCCATTACCACAACACTACATTACAGTCAATACACTGCATCGTGTTCCACCACATTACCCGCACACTACATTTCAGCCATTACACTGCATCATGTTCCACAACATTACAGCCACTACACTGCATCATGTTCCACCACATTACCCGCACACTACATTTCAGCCATTACACTGCATCATGTTCCACAACATTACAGCCATTACACTGCATCATGTTCCACCACATTACCCGCACACTACATTACAGCCATTACACTGCATCGTGTTCCACCACATTACCCGCACGCTACATTTCAGCCATTACACTGCATCATGTTCCACAACACTACAGCCATTACACTGCATCATGTTCCACCACATTACCCGCACACTACATTACAGCCATTACACTGCATCATGTTCCACTCCATTACCACCACACTACGTTACAGCCATTACACTGCATCGTGTTCCACCACATTACCCGCACACTACATTTCAGCCATTACACTGCATCATGTTCCACAACATTACAGCCATTACACTGCATCATGTTCCACCACATTACCCGCACACTACATTACAGCCATTACACTGCATCATGTTCCACTCCATTACCACCACACTACATTACAGCCATTACACTGCATCATGTTCCACCACATTACCCGCACACTACATTACAGCCATTAAACTGCATCATGTTACACCTCATTACCACGCCACATTACAGCCATTACACTGCATCATGTTCCACAACATTACAGCCATTACACTGGATCATGTTCCACCACATTACCCGCACACTACATTACAGCCATTACACTGCATCATGTTCCACTCCATTACCACCACACTACATTACAGCCATTACACTGCATCGTGTTCCACCACATTACCCGCACACTACATTTCAGCCATTACACTGCATCATGTTCCACAACATTACAGCCATTACACTGCATCATGTTCCACCACATTACCCGCACACTACATTACAGCCATTACACTGCATCATGTTCCACTCCATTACCACCACACTACATTACAGCCATTACACTGCATCATGTTCCACCACATTACCCGCACACTACATTACAGCCATTAAACTGCATCATGTTACACCTCATTACCACGCCACATTACAGCCATTACACTGCATCATGTTCCACAACATTACAGCCATTACACTGGATCATGTTCCACCACATTACCCGCACACTACATTACAGCCATTACACTGCATCATGTTCCACTCCATTACCACCACACTACATTACAGCCATTACACTGCATCATGTTCCACCACATTACCCGCACACTACATTACAGCCATTACACTGCATCATGTTCCACTCCATTACCACCACACTACATTACAGCCATTAAACTGCATCATGTTACACCTCATTACCACGCCACATTACAGCCATTACACTGCATCATGTTCCACCCCATTACCACCACACTACATTACAGCCATTATACTGCAACATGTTCCACCTCATTACTGCCACACAACATTACAGCCATTGCACTGCATCATGTTCCACCACATGACCATCACACTACATTACAGCAGTACAGTGCATCATGTTCCACCCCATTACCATCACACTACAGGGTGTATCAGAAAAAAATGATACTCTCGGAAAAATCATCGTAAAATTAACATAGATAATAGTTCTGTAAATGTGGGCGTAAACCTTGGTAGAGGGGGTCATTCTGCTTCGAATGATACCAGTATCTTAGTTTACGCTTCATGCTCCAGTGAGCACGGACGCTTTGAATTTTGCAAAATTCAAGTCTTTTGCGCACGGGAATGCGAGGGTTAAAATTGGATTTGTCACATTAAATTAAAAGTTCAGACAGGGTTTTACCAGTATGCAAGGCGTTTTTTTGAATAATAAACCCTTTCACCCCCGAACCTCGGCACAAAATGATCTCTTTTATGAGTGGATCGTAACCAAAGGGTTAACACATGCAATTGAAGTGGCCGTGAACAAGTGAATCAAGCTAACAAGCATCATTCAGTGGGTATGTCATTTAATTATTCCATAATTATTCTGCTGCATCCACACAGTAAAATAAGGCCGCATCGCGATGAGGCCGAATAGCGGCCGGCATCTGTTAGTTAAATATGTTACTGCGCCATCTATCACCTGTTGCTACGCCAACATTATTTTTTTGTGTCGGGAAGAAGCTAATTATCCGGATATACAATAACCTGTCGTCATCGTGGGAAGGACATGTGGAGGTAAGATAATTATTCATCTAAACTAAACATTTGAATAGTGTCTCCTATCGACTGCTTTCCCACATATTCTGTTTCATTAAGATAGGCTATATGCAATTCGTTTAGTTTATTATCAAGGCTATGGATGTGTTTGCTTGCGCGTGGCTTTCTGCTATGTTTGACAATTGCGCGTGGTTTTCTCTAGTGTACAGTAATGGATGGGGAAAAAGCAGTCAAAAATATCAGGGCACTTTATTCAAAGACGCCGGCCTACTTCACCATCCGCGCGTAATTAGATCTCGTAATTACGAGATAAGGTGTATATTTTTTTCATCCTGTGAATGCAATGCGCTTCCGTACATAATACCGTTCTCCTCTCCCCAAACATAACCACAACCGCAAAGCATTTGGGGAATTGAAGTCAAAACAAATACATTTTCTGTTCTTACATTAATTTTCGTTTAACCCTTAGGGACGGTTGTGCGCATTTTTCGCGCTTTTCAATCTTCTTTTTTTTGATAATTTTGGCTGTGTTCATGCATGTAGCATGAATTTTGGTCAGATTGTGTGTTTTTATTATTTCCAGCTCAGCTCTTACAGTAAGGCTAAAATACACTGTGTACAAGCAAGTGCTACACACTGACTGTTAA